GTCTGAGTTCTTCGAAGTACTTCCCAAAGGGAATGCCACTCCGTTCCATGTGTCTTCCGCCGGTCGATTTTGCAAGCAGTAGATGTTTTGCCTTTCGTTCTGTTGACATTTGCAAGACGTTCCCAAACCATCGTAGCTTCTAGTTCTGAATTTGGAAATCCTGCGAATGCTTCGCATATCTGAACTCCAAATTATATCGAAATGCTTGAGCCCGATGATTCATCTTAGCAAGCCTATTTTAGTTGCTTTCACTAATGGTTCACAACTCTTGTTCACTGGTAAGTTTCAAAATGAGAATCACTTTGAACACAAACTTATTTTTCGGATTCAGCTCCACGTTCGTCACAACCGTTCGGACAAGGTTCACGCAAAACTTACACAAACATTTAGCATTATTACGTCGCATGTCGCCTGTGTCGAGTATTCAGGTAGTATTAACGGCATATTTTCTTGTCCACTGTTTGTGATTTGATATCAGGCATCATTGAGCCTTCTAGTTCCTTTAACCAATTAGTGCAGCCACCCTTTTAGATTAGACTAGCGGTGAAAAGATGCCTCCATGCCCTCGCTACCAACTAATATGAATAATGACCCATAGTCTTTGCTTGCGAGTTTATACCTGATACTTGTACTGTTCTTCTCATAAGTCAATTTCAAAGCATAAGCAGTCCACAGTTATGGTTGTCCGAGCATTCCAGGATCCGTTTAAGGTTTAGCCAACTAACCAAAGTATTCCTGATTGTGCTTCGCCTTGACATGCGAAACTTTGTTGACTGTTGTCCTTTGTGTACCATGTAAATGCCTAAAGTGATTGATGAAGAACCGACGGACGTACTACACGCCAACCCTCATGAGTTTCTACTCTTTTGGTACAACTTCCTTCAAAGGTTAGATTGTAGGTGTTCTATGCACAGCGATGTAACTGAACTGTAAACACCTGTTTGAAGCGAAGGAACTCGAAATATTGACTGCGTTGTCGAAAACTGTGAAACATGAATATAGTTCTTGATCCTGTTTTTGCTCATTCATCGTCGTTATAATGCAGTCACCCGTACTTCTTTTAATTCTGAACTATGCTTGGTTAGCCGAAGCGTGCACACGCATCTGCATGTGGATGAACTGCTAGCAGCCGGTGGTTCCTTTTTCGAAGACCGTACCCTTGTGCTGTATTAGTTTAGTCATTGAAATATGTTGTTAGCTCCTTAAGCCTATGATTTAAAGTAACGTTGTAAATTATGGAATGAAAAAATGTTGTTGTAGATTCGCTTATCCTTAGGCTGTATTCGTTACAAACGACGACATCCGTACATTATGTAGTCTGACAGTTACTGTAGTTGTGCAGCCGTTCATTCGTTTCTCTGATTGATCGTTTTTCGCCTGCCAGGCTGCTTAGTTAGCCTCGACATGAAGGCTTTCATTGTTACCGACGACGAACGACTCTTTACTGATAAATTTATCTTTGCTTGACGTGGTGATCTGAGAGTGAGTCATTGCTTCTGAGGGATCTAAATTCACAAAAGTAGTAAATCAGCTGCTGCGACTGAAATCAATCACTCGTTACCGAAAGTAACTAATGCTTTTAGCCGATCATTAGCGAATAACGGAGACTCAGTTGCCTTAAGTATTCCATCACAGTTTGTTTTGTGCAGAGATACATTTACATATTATCTACTACTTCGTAGTAATCATGAAAGAAAGCACAACCCAGGAATGATGTGAAATAATTTTTGTGTTGGCGTGCATCTGAGCTTTAACTTGTATCATAACTTTGTTTTATGTAAATGCAGTGGTTATTTATTTGAAAAATGTTCTCCTGATCATTGATACTCGGCTGCATTGCCACGTAAGGAAAGGGAGAAGTCTTTCTTTCCCATTCATTTCTCCAGTTTCTGTGTTTATTGTTTCTTTCTCAGCCATTGCCTCTTTTCTCCTTTGCTGTCGTTACAAAACTATTGAATTTCGATTTGTTTATTTGCTTTCACAAGTAACAATACATCCATCATACATGAGGAGAACGATTCGTCAGGAGCTACTTCCGGCCAGCGCTAGTGAAAACCAAGTTTTA